AGATGCTGCCCTCATCTGTGACAAAGTACCAGGCATTGTCACTCTTCCAAAGTTAGACACTGTACCATTGTAACAAATTCAAATCACTTCTGGACAACGCACCAGGTGCTGTCTCTCCATCCATCTGAGCTCTCTGTCATTTTTCATGTGCATTTGTACTTTCAGTAATTAAATGTATGATTGCTTCCATCAAACATTTATCATATAATCATAACATAATCGTTTAAATTACATCCATACTTTTCTCAATACTAGTGTTGAGCATAATTTAATACAACAATAACGAATTTAAATCATTGCTGGACAGTGTACCAGGCACTGTCATTGCTGTTCATCATCGAAGCCTTTACTGTAGTTTTCATGCATTTGAAACTACTTTTCCGTAATCTTGTACAATTCAAGTGATTTCCGCCCTTAGTTTGCTCAAGCTGAGTGTGAGATATGATGATAATTGCCTCTTACTTACTGTCAAGTTTTTTGAGATGTTGGACAATTATGTACCAGGTATTTTCACGTAAGTCATCAGAGATCTTCATTGTCATCCTTTTGCTTTTGTAGCTCTCAGTATCATAGTAGATTTTATGTTGCAGCCTCTCTTTCCAAATATCTTATACATTTATAAGGGACATACTAAGTAATTTCTTTAAGCATATGTGATATAACAGACAACTTGAATAATCATTTGGTTTTCAGAGATGTTGGACAATGCATCAAGCGCTGCCACCTCTATTCATCTGAGCTCTTTGTTATTTTCCTGATGCATTTATATCATTGGTTCTCAAAAGAATGAAATTGATTGTTGTGTGACATTACTTTTCATCATACCTCTTACCCACAGAATTGTGATTTCTTGAAATCAAGTTGTAAATACAAGTGTGTATCTGTTTATTTTCGTTGTATCTTATACAATTATAAGGGAGTGGGCTTGTAATCTTCTCCTGTAACTGAGCTTGGTCATCATAAGGTGTAGTTCACTCTATCTTCATATATCTGTTGTTTCTTTGACTTGCTATTAATTAAGTCTATGTCTTAACTAATTTCAAGTATTAATATCTAATAAATTTCGACATTTTTAAAGGTTATTCAAAATAAGTTTGCAAAATCCATCATTGTTAGGCTAGGGCAGTATTCCAGTGGACATTTGTTGAAATTTTATGAAATGTTTCCCAAAATTATGAAGGAAAACCAGTACTTCCCACATATTGTTAAATGCAGTATTTTTGGCACTGAAGATTGCCAGCCATTCTCAACATTTACTTCAGTCATTGCATATTTTCTTATTTAAATCTTATTGTTCAGTTTCAGAAAACTTCTGAGACTATCCCCTGTCAATGTTAACAAATATCCAAGTCTTTGTGTGCAGACACAGCACCTTCTGGGCTTACATTCTCCAGAATTCAATAAAGTGTCTAAGATGTGCTATTTGTACGACAAAAAAAATCAAAAGTTTGGTACTTGAACAGAACTGACGTCTGTTCGTAATGCCTTCATCTAGAACTCGTCCTTAGAGGTAATTACTACAGTATCCTATTTACAGACTATCATCGTATCCCCTTCTCCACACCACCCCAGCACTATGCATCTGCGCTCAGCATTGCATGCTCGCAGCAGCTCTTTCACCCTACTTTTAACTCACACATTTATCCTACATTTTCTCACACATTATCTAGGCCCTACACCTACATTCAATAGCCGTTAACTGTCTGTATAACGTGAGTACACGATTATAAGTTTCGCCGTCTTTGATAATTGACTCCTTGACCATATACCACTTGGACTTTAACTTGTGCTTGACCAGACGTGACCTGCTACCCTTGACCTGCCATTTAAGACTGACTTGCAAATTAAATAGACCTAGGATACGAACACGCGCGGCACGAATGAATCGCACGTACCTGCCCTAAGTAATCTAACAAATCTAACCCTAGCTTGAATGCATATACCAACCTCTCACCCACAAACACTCAGTGCTGCTGCTGCCGCTGCTGTGCTGCTGCTGCTTAATGTACATGAGCTGCGGGCAGTTGCTCCCCTATGCTAATTGGTGTCCTTAGTATGCTAACAGGTGAAGAATGAGTTATCTAAATAGTAGGTGTATGTTCTTCCATGTTCACTGAAGCTATGCCATTTTTGAAATGCACTAATATTTGACCATGGCTGGAGTGTCTTAGATTAATGATTGTCTTGGCTACCGATCATAGGTAACAACAGAAAGTAAATGTGACAGTGCAGGCAATGTAGTCACAGACATAATGAAAAATTATATTGTTTAGATCATTTATTGTCATTATTATTTTCAAACTTACTGTCTCTCTGTCATAAATTTTAATTAGTAACCTGAGAGTACTGGTGTACATTCTGATTATATTCCCTTTTAATTAGGACTTCAAAGACAACTTGAAAAAAGTGCATTGGATTTCCACTGGAACACTACCCCATTAGCAACATTGCCAAATTCATACTGGCACAAAAATGACACCATATTTTAGTTCTTTACATATTAGTTTTTAAAACTAATAATAAGTGGTTTTCCTCCCATACAAGGCAATGTTATTTAACAGACAACTGACAAAAAGGAGTCCTCTGTATTTCATGACAAATTTCTCTTTCAAAGTGTAGATAAAAATTCTCTCTTAGATAAAAGAAGTCAGGAAATTTAACTATTTGAACTAAGTTACCACCTGGCCGGCTTAGGATTATACAACAGGATTAAAGGTATCCATAGCCACGCCTACTCTTGTTTACTTGTAACAACAATACAGTGTCATGAATGCCAACGCCACATGTATACGCGTGGCAATGTCACGTTAGCAAATAACCTGTGGACTCCACTAACTAGACTTAAGCTCCGACGTATATAATTATCATGCATACACAAGCTCAACGAAGATACAAGTGAATTTATTATTGTTCGAAGCAGTGGTGCAACTCAAAAAAGTTCTTTACTATTCTATGAGTCCGTGCTTTGATTCTTAACCATGTGAGATAAGGAACGTCGGGAACACTGACTGGTTATATCTAATAATAATAGGCCTATCACTCAGTGTTACCAAATTCTCTATCTTAGCTAAGGGAAAACGGCAAATTTGGCTAGACCTTCTGTGAGTTGAATTCAACCATTTCCTTTTACCACCTTTTACATGTAGGCCTACCTATACTGATTTAGGCCTACAGATTCACAAAGCAAGATTTAAAATATTTAGGCCAAACATTTTTCAGTAGGTACAGCTTGCATGCATGGTCACTCACCTTTGCTTTGGTCTGATAAAAATAAACTTACCACCTGCCATTTCTCGACTTCTCCTTGAAGTTTAACATGTTTAATTCTTGCACTATGACTCCATTTTCGGCGCAAGCAGTTGCCTGGTCACAGGTCCATGGGTCCAAAAATCTTGAAAATATGCAATGCGTTCATCATCTTCACAAAGATCACTGATGTCAACTTGCCTATAGTGACGATACTTTCAAGTTTTACCACTCAGCGAAATTCAGCATAATATGAGGCACAAGTGTTCAGTTGGCCAATGTCATTTTGAGTCCAGTCAAATTTCAGTAGAAGCATCCAACAAGTTGAAAAAACGCTCGATGTCCAGGCAGTCCAAAGGCGGTACTTCCAGTGTACGCGGGCTATGGCTGGCGAAGAACAAATGAGCGGGGTCCGGTTGTTTTGGGAATTCAGTCATTTAGTAAACAAAAGCTGGGAGAAGTGGGTATCGCAAACGTACATGAATATACTGACGTTTAAAGGCGACTTTAGTTTCAAAAGTAATTTCAAAATGATGCCCCCAAAATTATGTGCGTGCAAAGCCAACGGGGCGCAAAATTCCAGAGATGTTTTACCTCTGAAGTTCCATCGCGGAATGAGATAGGAGTAAAGCGGCGGCAGGTTTTAATTTTGCAAGTGCATAATGGCGCTTTCGTGTTTGTTAACCGGATGTTATTTCTCCGCTCAAACTATTTCTGTGATTGTCTCTCTGTAAAATTTGTTTTTTTTACGACATACACTTGAATAAAATTTGCGATATTATTAAGAATGCAATGAATCAATCCTCACAAATAACGGTGAAAGTACTCATTTTTAAATTAAACATTAGGGCCCTACTTTTCTGTAATGAGAGGCAATATCCGAGACAGGTGACGTAATCCAAATAAACGATTGCAATTGGTCACAAGTTTGCAGGGTGACAGTTTGATCAATTTGATTGGGTTCAAACACCTGTTATTTAAATAGATTGTGGCAGACGAAAAGACACTGCGTTTGGCGGGAAGACAAATTTGACGCAATCGAGCCTAGCCGGTTCGAACCGGATCCATAGACTTGTCGAGTCGTACACTTATCTCGAAATCTATACATTTATTTCCATGTTGTTTTTCTCTTTTGCGTGTTAACAAGAGATTGCCAAAACTTAGTAAAGAACATAACTGTGATAAAGCTGAAAATTTCATGAGGGGCAAATATTTGGAAGAATTTAAACTCGCATGCAATGCCAAATAGCGGAACTGGGGGAGGCGCAGCCGGTGCCACCCTCTTTTTCTTTTGAAGAGTTAGATCCCTTGGCCTTTTTTCCAGTCGCTTCTTATGTCCATAAGTTACCCCCATCAAAAGTGTGTGGGAGATATATACCCCCCACCCCACCTCCCTGGATTTATGCCCATGCATTTCCTGGTCATTTGTTAGACACGGTTTTGAGAACAAATCTCAATGAAAGTGCAAGATTTTAAAAAAGCAGATCTTCAAATCCAATTTCAGACACCCAGCACGGCATTCCCCACTCTGTTTACTAAATATAACAAACACATTAAAAACCCCAAATTTAGCCTGTTCTCAAGAACAGGCTAATGTTGAAGGTAACATTTTTCTACAGCCCACCCAAAATTTCCCCCCCCCAGCAAATTTGGTTACGGAGTTGCATATGTAACCACCCCCCCAAAAAAAACCTTTAAATGGATGAAAACAAAATGTACTAAAAATAATACTACATACAACCTGGGAATGTTCATGAATTACATACCACAAAAGCGGCGATAAAGTTCAGCCTTTTTTATTTCCTTGTACTGTAACAACATGCAATGATTCCACATTGCCACTTGCATTAGACATATCCATTCAAGCTTGTACAATTTCCCATTTGGAAGCATTTCCTACAACCATAATACTGCTTGGTATATTTCAATGAAAAATGAAGCTGAAAACTTTCAATTTTTCTTACAGTACAAAATGCCATTGTCTGTACACATTCTTTACAGCTGTCTACAGAGCACTTCACAAAATCTCGTGCATTTCAAAATTACTAATACAGTTCATTTGAAAGTGTTACCCTGTTAAATGGTGAAGGAGTGTCTCAGATCTTTCATTTCCAACATCATGTTGCAACTGCTTTTCTGGCTAGAATTCACTGTGCTTTCTGACAATAGTTATTAAGACAACACTCCTGGGTAAAGTTATTGACAAGATTTTAAGCACATAATAATTTGACCATTGGAAGCCACAGAACAGTTAAAACAAATGGTGGCATTAAAAAAATCTACACCTATCAATTTGCTAACTGGAAATTCATATGAATACAATAACAGGACTGAGGTAGATGACCAACCACTTCTGTAATGGGTCAGACAGACAGGTGTCCACAAAATGAACAGGTCATCACAATGGGCAAGCAGTCACAACTGGTACAATGCCAGAACTGTTATTAAGGGTGTATCCGAATCTGTTGTCCAGAGCTAGATCATTGAGAATACATGGAGACACACATTTAATAGACCTAGGCATAGCTCTGGAAGGCCTTTTTGGACATGGCCTAATGTCAGAAGAGAGACAGGTAGCCAAAAAAATGTATGAAGAAACAACGTACAAGCCTAGTGGCCACAATAGACTGGTACCACCATGGGAAAGGTTTAAGGTGACTTCAGTTTAGCAGTGGCCACAATACAGTGGTAGCTTGGGTGGAAGAAAAGCACAATAGAGGTAACCAGACTAGGAGGGTGACCACAAATGACAGGTGAAAAGATCACACCCACTTGCATATACATTTATTCCTAAAATTCCAGCAAACCACCAGATCTTGTTTGAGATTAGACTTTCTGCTTAGTTTCAATAATTTACTGTTGTAAATCATGGGTTACTGGGGCACATACAGAATGATGGTGGAATCTGTCACTTTTAAATTTTGAATTTGATGACCAAGTTGTGATTACGCGCTTTCAGAGTTTGAGTTTTTTTCTGATCAAATGAAACCACTTGTATTGCTTTGCTTGGAATATTATTCCATGGTTAGCTACAAAAATCCACAGTATGTCAACAATGCAGTGACATCTCCACTACAGATCTATTATGCAAACCGTGCACAGTGAAACATGTTTCAATCACGTTTACTCTGGTGTGACAAATTGAAATCTAGACGTAATGATGAAAAAAGTGTGAATACAAGAAATTCCTGTCTATTTAGCATTCCTCAGTTAGAAAGATGAACATCTTAGAAAAGAGGCAATTACAACTATTTACTCCAGAATTTCTAGCATTAAAACAGACTCCATCAACAGAAACTGAACATCATTTGGCAGTTGGGTAACACCTGATCCGTTCAATTCTGTAACAAATATCCAAACCTTACTGCGGTACAAAAGTAGGGTATCTGGTGTAATGTGGCCATTACAAAATACACTTCATGTAAAAATGTCAATTTAAAGCTCTTCTGTTTAGAGGAAATTCACGTTTTAGATGCTTTTAGTAGAGGGAGTGGGAACAAAGGAAATCCAGCATACTGTCAGAGGGAAAGAATTCAAGGAGACAAGATAAATGGAAGTACATACTGCTCTACATTTTAAAATTTACAAGGGTGTCCGTGGCATTGTATCCTCATTATGCAATAAATCTAACGGGATATGCCACTGCTATGAAATGCTTGTAACTGACATCAAGTTGGCTGTATTTGTTATTTGCAATAATTATAGTGTAGATGTGAAAATTTGCAACAATGGACTCAGATGAGTTGCTGTCAAGTCCAGAAACAATGTTTGTAATTGATTTTCACGTAAAAGCATAATCAAATGCGGCCATTGTGCGACACCACGAGTTTGCACCGTATTGGAAAGGATCGATAGATTTTGTGGGTTGTGATTGACCAACGCGTTCCACACTCTTGGTAGTGCACTATTGCGAATCGCCTGTATTGATATTAAAGCACTGTTGCCACCTGACCCACATTAAGCTTTACGTACAACCAAATACAAAGACAGCACATACATGTGAGTACTGACATGACAATATATAAGTATATATAATTCGTTGTTTCATTCCCTTAGTCATCCAAGATGGAAAAAAAAAAGATATTAATCTACATGTACGTTTGCTGTTGACTCATAATGCCTCATTTACCAATTTCTATTGGTCAGAAGCCAATAATGTAGGCGGTTTCTAACAGGATAAAAGTACAACTGGTTTTTACCGATGTCCCAATTTCATATCAAGTTTTGACCCCTATTTTGTGGACTCTAACACTCAAATGTGACAATCATAATCATTATGCAGGGATGCACAATACAACCAATGAGTCTATTTTCCAAAGTCTGATTTTACCTCCACACCAGCTCAGCTGCATTCTTTATGATATCACGTAGAATGTGCTACAAGCCCCAAATTTCCATACAAGCAGATCTTTGTACTGTGCAAAGGAGGCACATACCATAGATACAGCTAGAGGGGTGTTTCTTAAATCTTTGATGAATTGATGAACAACACTGTTAAAAATATGAGTATTCAACTCAGTTTTTACTGTTTCACCTTTGGTGCTGTCTGTTATCATCTAGAGGTCAGTATCTGGTTTTAAACGTACTGAATTAAAAAGGCCCATCACATTTTTATTTCCTTCATAATAACACACACTGTGAAAATGTACGAAAAGTGGCAAAAATTGAAGAGAATATCAAATTTCAAACAACTCAAATCACATACAAAAAGCGAGTGTTGTGACATCGCTGTCACATGACACACATACGAGTACAATTGTACATTCACACATAAAGAATGCATACATAATGACAAGATATTTTACTCATGTGTAAGCTAAGTTGTCATTTCCCTAAATAAGCAAAGATAGGAGAGGCACACTCAACAGCACACTATGGTCTGGATGTACAATAAGCACAAAGATTAATGAGACTATCACAGGATCTACATGAAGTGTGATAAGTGAACAACTGAAAGAGTGATGACAAGTGAAATCAAATGCCAACACTGATGTAACCTCCTGAATCACAATTATACATGTATTTTTCGTCAAATTGTGGATCAACCCTCAAAATGGATGGAGGGCATTGAAAAAGGGGGAAAAACTAAGGACATTTTGAATGACAAAAATGAAGGTGGGACATATTTCGTTTGGATCTATTTATGGCTAATACATACAAAAGGTATTTCAGGCAAACGATTGTGGGATGGGGAAAACTTTTTTTGTTTAAAAAAAAATCAAAACTCCTGCATAATGCCTCCAAAGTCACATATTTCTTTATCTCTCTACACATTACTTCTCTTCAATGGCAAGGACCACTTTGAATAAACCGGAAAAACTTTGGAGAGCAGCAATGAGAATTTCCTCTAATTTTCTTCCCCGTTGCAATGGCATACATAGTACACCTACAATTTCAGATTTACATTTTCAGTATTATATTTTCAACAACTTGATAGCAAACTGTACAAAGAAGTGTGCAGAAACAAACTGGACAACTTCCACTATTCATTTGGACCATCATCTTCATTTCAGACAAGTCTGCAGCTAAATCCTGCTGCATGTTTCATTACTCTGAAAAGAACTCAACTCTTCAAACATGCTGTCTCTCATGCAAAGAAAACAAAGGGGCGAGAAGTGCATACTGTCCAAAATGGCAATTTTTACAAATTGTTAGAACCACCACAACTCAATAATGTGATATTCCACGGCTCTATTGTGCTGTATCTGTCGATCTTTGCCTCATGCAATCCTTACATCTCATCTACAGTATTGTGCAAAAGTGAAAGGACCTGCATTGCAATTGCTCACATTTAAAAAAACGCAACAGGAACACGACCATTTCCTTTATTCAACTCTGCTTTTAAGTGATACGGCAATGCTGAGTGCTCTATCCTCTGCGTAGGTCATACAGCAGAAAAGGCTTGAAACAACTTTTGCAGCCTATTTTTGTATACACCTCATACATAATTTGATAAGTAATGCTATGTTTCACAATGCCAGCAAGATAATCTGCAGTAAGATTAAGTCACATGCCGAATTTTACATGCTGTCAGACATTTTTAAAACACAAGTGGCATGACCTGGTACAGTGCACAGTGAAGCTGTGTATGTGGCACACTGCTGTCTTGCAATCTTGTAATGCATTGATGTGATTCAGTGTATTACAGTACACAAAACTAGGTGCAGTATGTTGTAGCCTGCTCCATGTAAAATGAAAGCTACAAAGAGTCACAGAGAGCTTTACCTATGAACATCCCTGTCACCTGCTTGGTGCATTCGGGGAAGGGTGACCACAGCATCAGCTATGAGGGCACATTACAAGAGCAATGGGCATTTTTAGTGCTAATGGTTTTGGCCACTGGGGGCCAGCTGCTCCCCAGGGGGGCATGGTGAGCCTCCATGCCATCCTTTAGTAACTGTCCTGCTTGTGAAATATCCAAACAGCTGATACACCAATAAAACTTCAAGTGTGGTCTACCTTTGAATGCACCACTTTACCAAGATAAGGCCTTTGAGATAACCCCCAAGGTATTTTCAACAATCACAATATATAATTAGCTTGTACCTGCGAACAAATGTGAAATACATTATACAACATGGACATAACACCAGCCTTTTGTTGTCCTAAAGTGTGTTTGAGACCAATACCTATGAAAAGTTGCAAAATGGCAAGCACAACGTCTTCGATTTGACCTCTGTGCTAAGTTGCAGTTCATTACCTGGTAGATACACCCTCGTCCTCCAAGCGTCTTTTGCTCGGAACCCTTCTGAATCCCCCGCAAGCCTCCACTGTGCAGAATACAAATGGCACTTTCTTTCTCACCAATACTCTCAAGATGCATCAAGTCTCATGTAAAGTGATGGCGGCTGTGCTCTACCTTCCTCAATCCTGCAAAACCCTCCTAAGTCTCCGGATGGATTTGGAAGGATCTTACAGTGGGGTAAGTCAGCAATGAAAAGTGTCAGAAAATCGATCTAAAAACAGCAATCATCAATGGACCAGTGGGTAAAACAAACCAGAGAAGTGGAAAATGAGCTTCCAGTAGGGCAACTTGGAGAAGAAGCGATTCTGGGAGATCTGGTAGCGCTGGATGAATGGTGTCAGCACACCCTGGCTGCCCAGCCTCAGGCTGCGGGCTGGCCAGCGTGGGTAATGGAAGTGGATGTTGTGAATATTGGCCCAACGGCCAAAGATGGCCTTCTCCGTGATGAAGAGGTGGCCGCTGGTCAACCGGACCTCACTGACGTGGTAGTACTGACACTCTGTCTTGAAAGAGGGATTGTAGTAGTGGTAGGGGATTTTCTTATTGGGATACTCCCTGTGAGACAAAGAAAAGGTGGAACAGAGAATCGATAGTTTGGTGACATTGGGTGCTGTAAACACAGCATTATACACAGCAGAATATACAAGAATTAAACGAAATGCACCCTTATCTCTTCATATTTCACATTTCAATGGAGAGGGCGGTTCTTAGTAAGAAATGTTAGAAGTCAAAATGATATAAATGGTTTTGTACAAACAGACTTCCACAGCCACTTCAATACGTTTTAAGTAGGAATCTCTTAATCTGAACCTAAGGCCCAACAGCCTACTACAGACTCTGCAAAGCTGTCCCATCTTTGTGACAACCAGATTAAACATTTTGCCTCAAACCGCAGAAGCCTTGTGTGCTGCACATTTGTTATTTACAAGAACTGAGGGTGCTACATGTATGTGACTCCCTGTAAGAACCGAGTAAAGCCACCTTGGCAGCCTGAACAAACCCCTAGTCCATGTCCGAGTCAACTCCAATCATTTTGGAGAAAATGAGTCAGTCCACTGAATTCAAAGTTAATATGGTATCCACACCACTACGCCAGTTTTACAGCACACACGTTTGAAACTATTCAAGCACACTGTTACCGGTTTGAAATGACCAGTACTTATACATGTACGGTCTCAGTATCAAGCCATGATGGGACAAGCATAAACCACAAATAATATATACACAGAACTGGCTTTGACAACCACAATGTAAGAGGGTGTATATTTTGTCAATAATACCAGTGGGTACAGGCAGAAGACAGTGCTCTAGTTAATGTACATATAATCTCACCTCAGAGGACTTTGTTTTCTACATTACAATGCTGAAAGGCATCTCTGTGCATGATACAGATGTTAGTGTGCATGGGTACTCTGGTACTCCCTCCATAGTGTGAAGGAGGGATTAACAGAAATGTGAAATGCCATTACCCCAATACAAGACTGTGGACGTTAAGACAAAAATTGGTCAGATGCATTCCAAGACACATCCGCCATTTCATACACACATTGCATCTCTAGAGTAGGCCATAGAGAATCATCTAAAGCTCCTGTATATGAGGTGAGATTATGGATGAACAGATAACACATGCAGCAGCAGGATGTAACCATGGTAACAATTAGGCCTGTGCCGGGTACACAGGTACATGTACCCATGATTTTTGTTCAAGGCTTTTAATTAGTAATCAAGGCACGAGTTCATTCATGTAGAGCTACGACTATGCGAATCCTGCATCTTGTACGGTACAAAGTGAAAGAAGTACCAAAAGTGGAATATGTAAGTTTCTAGGAATCCAATATTTGGGGGGTCAAACATTCTGATATCTGGGAAATTACATGCCTGCTGCAAGAAGTATATGGCTATTGTATAAGCGGACTCCCAGAGCTGGACTACTGGTGAAGCTAAAAGAAAATTTGTACTGAGAAATGTAAAATGTGCAACTGCCAGTGACAGTTTACGACAAGCATTTCCTAAAGAGAATCATTACAACTGTATTCCACACAACCAGTAAGACTTGAAGTTTTATTTGTGAAAAGATTCAAGAAGAAAGGAATGGTGTAATAACAGCCAGTGGGCAACGGCGGAGGAAAGACTTACGTGCAGTAGTCTTCATAGATCATTCCGAAAACATTTATTTGCTTGCAGGAGTCAATGGCTAAGAGAATGGTGTACCATCCCGTTGACAGCCACGTCTTTGCTTGAGACCTGTGGACCAGCAAAAAGATTTACAATCAATTACTCTTCAAAGCCGGTGTGCTTTCCCTCTGAGTTCCCTTGGCTACTCCACTGAACATTTCACTCAGCGACATAAAGTTTCACTAGCAAGCAACATGTGCTCATACATTATTTGAATAAAGAAAGATTCCTGTGTGTATTTTAAGTGAAGCTAAGATGACTGAAGTGATAAGCCAATTTGTATCCACTGTTTTCTCCTGCTTAGAAGCTTAGTCTCTCGTATGTAAGAAGTCTGACGGACCCTGTCAAAATCTTAGTTCTATCCAAACGGTCACAAGCAGAGCCCACCTTTGACATTTGTATGGGTATATAATGATGCCCATTGTTTATGCTGTTGTTGATAACAGTACCACTGTTCAATGGGACAAACCTCTGGATCGGCAAAAGTAAACAAGATGAAATAAAAAGCATAATCAAGCCAGTGTCCTCTTTTAAAACCATGTAAGTTACAAATAAAACTAGTTGATATTTGATGTTTAAAACAGACGGTATTTGCTGCACCATTACTTTGGGAGGGGACTACAATGTAGATACGAAAATGAAGAAAATTTAACATTTTGATAAAGTACAGTGAGAATTTGACTACACTTGAGTGAACATCACCTTGGTGGGATCCATAGGTTACAGGTATTTGTTGACATTAACAATTTATCTCACATCACCATTGGGCTAGTGAAAGATGAACTGGGCCCTTACAGCTCTCACCTGCTCAGCCCGGTTTCATGCTGGAAGAGCTTCTCTGCATAAACCATCTTCTGTGGGGTGAACATGTTAAAGGAGACATTGCGGTAGGCTTTGGCAAGTTGTAGGGCCAGGGCATACTCCTGCGGGGGATCCCTGTCAATGTCCGTCAGGAAGGACCAGTGCATAAAAATTTTGTCCGTCCTCGTGGAGGCATTCACCAGAAACTCCTCCTGGGCCTCCGGGTGATTGGCAAAAATCCTGCGGAGGTTGACGTGTCCAATGACCCGGACTGTGGTCCGGCTACCCACGTCGCTTTCAAAACCTTTGGTGGGGGCATTGTTCATGCGGATGACGCAATCATTACTGTCAATTTGGCGGCCAGCGCCCGTGCCTAAAAGCTGGCCTGAGCTGGTGACTATTGCACACTGATTACACTGAAATTTGACACTCTGAAAGAGAAGGAAACCCAGACAGCGAAAGTTAAAGAAAAGACAAGACATGAACTCCAAGAAATACACTTACGATACCCTATAACTTCAGACAAGAAAAAAAAGGGGGTTCTATTCATTCAGAAACGTACCTTTGAAAACAAAATCACACCACATTCCATATTCAAAACAAAATTTGAAAAGTCTAACAGACAGAACTAATCTCACTTATGAGTACACTCTAAGTGGACTCCAATCCAACTAAGCTGCAGAAGGGATTGCCTGTAGCCTCAACAGACCACAAATCACGTCATTCCTGATCTGGAGCATATAGACCTACTTCACCTTCATGTACATTTTGCTATATCATGTACAGAATGACCAAGGGGTCATCAGTCTTTCATCAACTGCGTCTTGATCACATATATGTAGTGACACTATTTAAACAAAAGGAAATGGTGCTGAAAAGACAGACATTTTAAAGGGTTACCTTGTTTCCTATAAGGGTTTGATAATCTTCCAAGGCCAAATCCGGTCCTTTCCTGAGAAACAAATCTTTGGTCCTTTCTTGTCGCCAATTAACATGTAAACGTCCAGCCTTCGCTGACATCCCATTATTGCTGTCACTACCCCTGTCTGAGCCTCTGCTTGGTCGGACTGTTGTCCCACTCTTTGACCTGACCTTGACCTGTGTGCTGCCCTCGCCGTCAAAGAACAGCGTCATGCAGACAAGGCAGGCCACAGAGTAGCACAATGCAAACAGCAGAAACCTGTGCGGTGTCTGTAAGGTCAAAGGTCACAACCAACAAATTTCTGAATATGCAGCGAGTCAATGGGAGAATAGATAAGTATGAAATATACCCATAGGTGTAATCCTTCACAATTACATGTACAATGTACACGTGTATGGTTGGTGGGTCAAAACATGATTTTGAAAACCAACAGCATAAATTGTTCTGACGATTCTTAGTACAATGGGTTTCTGTATTGGATCGTTTTCAATAAGCATGCAATTACATAAGCAGCATCTAGGGATCGGCCCATTTGGCTGCCAAGAAACTGCCTGCATATATACATGTAAACTGGTGGTTACATCAAATGACAGATCTGTTCCGTGAGTTGGTGAGGTCCAACAAAGAACTCCAAAACCCAACATTTTGGGCAACACACACGATACAGTATGTTCTGCCCATCCTTGACACTTTCGGTATCTAAAAGAGCTTCCTTTCCCATGCAATAAATGTATCCCAAATTGGCCTTTAAAAAAACAAAAGGCTGAATACCAAAAGGTAACATGTAGATGTACAACAATGTACATTACATGATTTTACACAGAAGATGTGTGTAATGACTTCAGAGGGGAATAACATTTTCAAGTTACAGCTTCTTTGAAATGCATTGAGCCCCTGACTTTTCTCATGCATGTTTTGGGTCTTTATCAACACAGCAATTCCACTGATGACTAAAAGCATGTATCGTACATGTACATGTATGCTGTACAATAGACCATTCTACCAACCTCGGGCAAAGAAGCACCATGACAACTTGTCGGCAGACTGACAGACACAAATCCTAACTAGAGGGGCATGTTTCAATTCCAGTGAAAGGTTCCAGGGAATTTAATGGGCTGGAAAAGCTTTCCAGATTCAAAACCACATTAAGTACATGTACAGGTACCATCTTGCCCGATGGCATTTTATACATGCTTCAAGTCGGTTCTTTGGGGAAATGTTAAAATTGAGAAGAGGGGGAAAAACTGAAGTTGAGTCTTAAGTTTCTTTGCTGATCAAGCAATACCTGTAAGGCAACTCTTTTTAATTCTATTTTACAAAGGCCCACTTGCTGGGAATAAAACACTAAGCACTGGGACTGAGTCAATTCGAATAATTCACTCGAATATGCAACCTTCAATTCAGTTGAATATCTGAGCATTCAGTCATACCAACTGACCAACCAGCAAATTATTGAAGAAACAATATATAAAATCAGTTGCAACAACACACACAATTGTACATCATAATCCCTATAATATCTTCTCACTTGTAGGGGTATCTCTAGCCACAATTTAGCAAAATTTAAGAGTAAAACAATACTTCTTTATATTTGAAAATTTCTATTCCTTTTAGATTTTTTAAATGAATCATTTACTTTTTGAATCGTAGGATTTCTGTCACTTTTCATTTAAAACTGCTTGAGAAAAGCTTCCATAGTGCAGCTTTTCTCATTTCAAACAAAAGAAAATTCTCCCTTCCTTTTTAGGAATTTTGTAATCAACTATTCAAATTTGGAAAATAATATTTGAATATTCTATAATCGATCAAAAATTTGGATAATCAGCACAGCCCTACTAAGCACATTTGATGGCCGAGTCTGAGTCAGAAGAACACACACTGTTGCATACTGGAACACAAGCTAATGAGATTTCCCTACATTTCCATCCAGCCAGGTAAAGTGGATTTTTACAGATACCATCTTGAATATTTATTTAGGCTGGGCTTTTGATTCTCTACTTTGGCAGGAAATGAACTTTTGACAGAAGTGAACTTTTTGCCTGTTTTACAAACCCAACATGTCTAAATTAATAGGAGAACAATAAATAAATCATTTTTTTTCCAGTTTTTTTTCTCATCTGCTATTCAGAAATAATATCATTAAGTACAATTTATGAATATGCATATCTAATAGATTTAGTCTAATGGAAGTCAAACACAATCACAGAAAAATTAACCTTCATGACTAGAAACAGCATTTTTTTTACATGTAAACACACTGTAAACAGAAAGTATCGGTATTTTGTGGGACCTGGCATAATTTTAGAACAAGAAATAATCTAGTAGGACTGAACCAGCATTTCCTTAAGCACATTTTGACACCTCAATTGTTAGAGTAGCATCAACAATGATGAAGCAGTGGACATCTGAATGCAAAAGGTATGTCGATTACATTCCTTCATCAACCAGTGTGAGATCATCCTTTACAATGACAAGTAAAGCCAAGAAATGTAACCATTAAATGGATCAAATCTTAGACATCACAGTCTGCCTGAGGTAGGCTGGCTGACATGTACATGTATGTAACAGTTTTGAAAGCAAATTCAATCATGCCACAGGTGGAAAAGTTTTCATCATGCATGTGTACCAATGTTGGCGCTACTGTAACAAGTGAGATGTCAAGATGTGCCGGGAGAAATGCTGGTTCAATGCAACTCGCTTAATCTCTTTGAGCTTCCAAAAATCAAATGCAGGGTCCTTCAGAGAAAGAGGAAACCTTCTTTTTGTGAAATATTCATACGCACACTACATACCTTCATGTTTCGGAGATCAAAAATTAACACGTTCCACACATACATCAAGTGGGCAGTTACAGGGGAGAGATTAAAACAGCCTCATTCAGAGAGGGAAGGACTTGCAAAAATCCTCGATGTGCAGCAGGACTAGAGTTCAGGTGAAGGTTTAGCTCTCTGTCACATGCAAATTAGGCGAGTACAACAGGAGGTAGTGTTTTGTGAGAGGAATGGCTCGCTTGCGAGAAGGGACTGTCAGCATCTGGGTAGTGCGGGGGAACAGGCAAGGCAATAATGCAGGCAGGATAACAAAGCAGGCATGCATGCACAGGCAGGTTGAGGGAGGCAAGGAGGTACTTGGAATGGCCAGAGAACGGGGAGGGGAGGAGCTCGTGGGCAGATAGGCCGACAGACTAGTCACACAAATAGATGGACAAAATGGCTATAACAAAAAGAGCAGATAGACCATAACCAGTAAACAAGTCTGTTAGAGGGTTACACAGAGGTTAGTGTTTTAGCCCATCTGAAGAAAACTGCTCAAGACACTACCGGTACCTAATAATTCCGTAATCAATGTCTTTGTCTTTTTTAAAACATACCGGTACAGTATAAAGCCTACAAGTTACAATATACGTAATGATACCATCCAAGTTAGTACTGTCAATTAACAAGTAAATATTTGCCAGATGAATTTGGATATACATGTAAATATATTCCAAAATTTTTTAAGTGCATTCAATTTGATGCACCCATTTTTATTACTACTAACCATTGATGTTGGTCAGTAGTAAAAGAAATGGGTCCATACACTGTATCTATGCAACAGCTGAGTAAATTTATGTGTATTTACATTTTTATGCAAATTTATATATAACATTAGGTTTATACATGTAAGCCCAACCTATTGTGGTAGGGGTTCAGTCAATTAGGCTACTTACCAAGCACCTGTTTCTGGGCAGCCATCTGGTTGCCATAATGGGGCCACCATCGCTGACATAAGTTCACCAGCAAAGACCTTAACTTGGCACTACCTCATCTTATCAAACTTAACACAGACCCTGAAATAAGAAATAAAAAAAAAACTCCCAGTAAAATGTCATCAATACCAACAAGTCAAGTTTGCGATGAGTCGTCTGTGTTCTTCCTTAACATTTGTCAATGTAACTTCATAATTCATATTTTCTACAAGCCGTTACAGCTTGACAATGTGTCCATGCTCTCCAACTGCAAGTTGCCTTTTTTCTAAGATTTACATATTCTTTATTTCTGTGCAATTTTATGCTAATGCAAAACGGACCTCTGCAGAATTCACTGTAAATTCAAAAGTGGTGCATTAGCGTCCATGCTGATCATCCCATGTGCTTGAATGCGCATTTGTTTCATGTAGACATGTATATTCCATCTTTACAATTCATTACCGTGCTTGGGCTCGTCTCATGATGGTACCAGTACTTGGAACAATGCAGTGTGTCTATGTCTCATATCCACTCAGCCTTTGGCCATGTGGTACCACTACAAAATATGGAACACAGACACATTACATACACTGTACATTCCATATTCTACTCACACTCACGTGAACACTACTATTATTATGATTTGAAAGCATGGAAGCTGGAACTTGAACTTGGGACTTGGAGAACTAAATTTGGACAAAGAACAACCAACATGTACCTGTACCAAAGAATTCTTCAGTAAGAGTGTTAGGCTTTTGGGGTAACAACACAGTGCCAATGGGCTCTGATTGAAACCATAGCCATCAAATTAAAAACTCTTCATGACCCTGGCTCCAACCTATGCAGTGTGTTACAGTTGACCATCAGCAATAATTAAGGACAAGGCTTGTCCCAAGACTGGTCAAAGTACCTTCCTGCACTCATTCATTGTGAGTTTGTTCCAAATGTGGTTAACCAACTTCCTCCCAGCTGTTAATCAATACACAAACTTGCTTAGAGAATTAGTCCATGGCATGTTAAAATCAATGTTCAAATGGAGAAAGATCAAGAATATGAACAATTTCATTTACGTTTGACTTTTATAAACCTTGTCTTTACAATTGAAGTTGTTTTCCGCACAATAGGTTTTCTGCATTTCATCCATTTTTTTTTAAGTTCTAAACATGTTCACAATACTGTGCAGTATGCAAAAATTCCCCCTGGTGAAAAATTCAATCTATATCACGACCATACACAAAAAAAATCTGAAATTTAACAACAGTGACTCATTACGGCAATGACAGGCCACAAAGATGGAAGCGAGGGGAACCAGCAGGGTAAATCTTCAGTGCCGCACTCCATTGTGAACACGAATTCTGGGATCGTTTGGGGTGAGGTAAAAATCCCTGGTGTATTTTCCTGTGCACGCACATTACATACATGTAAGTACTTCACATACCAGTAGGTCTACACTACACAGGATATTCTGGTAATCTGCACTGTTGAATTCAGGTCATTCAAAGTAAAGGAATACCTTGAGTTTGAATCACTACATTCTTTTCTTCCAAAGCAATATCTGTGAACAATCTTGCAACTGGTTTTTAAGTCATCCAAGCACATTGTTAAACCATGATCCGAGGCATTTCAATATACCGGTATTGGTCTTGACGATACAGAAAAATCATTTTCTTTGTTTAGATTTTTCTGATAGATAATAATACCCACTGAAACATGCATTATGCAAAACCAGATGAGTTGATAACAAATGACAACTTAAATAATATAATTTAATAAGTTTAATCCATTCCTTTTGGTCAAAAGTCTGTGTGTACTGCAGTACGCACAGACTTTTGACCAAAAGGAATGGATTAAACTTATTAAATTATATTATTTAAGTTGTCATTTGTTACACCAAGTCCATATAAGAAGACTCTTCTGGACTATTTGCACAAGGAATACACCATAAAATGGATGGGGTTGTTTGAGAAAATGAAAGTAAAATGCTTGAACTAAATCCTTGGATATTAATCATATATTAGTCGCATCTATTCTGTTGGTGAGCTGGTCTTAAATGCACGATTAAGACCAGCCAAGCACATATTTATTCCTTTAGAAATAGACACATCTGTGTCTGTCCACACTAACAGACACATTTGCACATAACCAAAATCATCTCTTTTTTTTAACAGTGTTGTGCGTCACAAATGAACTTTAACAATTTTACTGATATTTGTATAATTGTAGAGATATAGTTTACACAGTTTAATAGCATTTGGTTGTTTGTTGTTAAAATAATCAGGAATTTGATGAAAATTTCCAGCTTACCAGTGGGACATGCACATAACTATGTCAACTCATGTTTTCCAGGTTATCTAAAATACCTCTCTTATAGAGAAAAGCAATTCATCTGTTAAAACATGGGTGCTACAGGTATAACAGTTGAGATATGTGTCAAAATCTATGGCTTTTATTTGTTTAAAGTTATCTTAAACAGGAATTTAAGGCGAGCTGATTAAGGAATAAGATACGTTCATGGTGTCTGTCCACAGAGTGACAAACATGTAACAGGCTGATTTTGCAATTTCTTGAGCAGATAACCTCAACAAAAATATATATCTTCCTGAGAAAAATTTTTACAATAACAATTTGCATCATATTAGTGTTTTTTTCTATCAGACAACAAAACTAAGATTTGATTTTAGGAATTGCAAATGTCTGTCCACTATTTTGTGAAATTTGTCACAGCTATTTTTCCCTCTAAATGTAAAAATCTTAGAAGACTTATCTTATGAGTACATACATTACAAAACCAAATAAAATAATGAAAACTTTGTAAGAAAAGGTTGGTTCATTTGCTGAAATGAAAGTGAGAAGGCTGTCTGTCCCCAGATTATGAGATGTGACAAATGTTACATCTGTCCATGTAACAAACATTACGCATTGAGAAAAACTTATAAACGGGGGAATAGTGTTCATTTTAGCTGAAGTTTAATAGTTTTTTGACAAAAATGATTTTGGAAACTGCAAAACAAACAAGGTTCGTTTGTGAACAATTCTGTTTTCACGCTCTAATTCAAACACCAGAAAAATGTCTTTCCATGTGACAAATGTGATGTCTGTCCAGTGACAAATGTTACATATTTTTCTTGAAATAAATTTCAGTGTTATCTACAGTACACTGGAATTGGTTTTAAAAGATAATGATGGTTTCTAACTTAGGTAAACTAAAAAGAGTATTTGATACATTGCAGGTAATTTTCAATTGTGTTTTGAATTTAATTTTCATATATAAGAAACAAAGTGTCTGTCCATGTGACAAATGTTAACTCCTCAAGAATAAACTTCTGTAATGTCTCAAATACTGCTCAATTTATCTTTACCTTTCCGGGGCAACAATCAGAAACAGTAAAGACATGTCAGCAAAAAATAATGGCACAATTTTACAGTTGGAAATTTGTGTTGAATGTCATGCAAATTATGTGTCTCTTAGTATGGACAGACCCACATCAAATGCAGCATGCGTGACTGTTTGATGACATGTAACATGTATATCTGCATCTTGTTTCAGAAATCAAGCACTGCACATGCATACTCACTCCATCCTGTCAGTATTAGAAACGCCATTTTTCCCCATGATTCTTAATGTTGGACCACAATTAAATGCCCATTCTAAACTGGTATACATGTACATGTAGCACTTACTATTATGGACAATACATGCACTGGTAATTTTCAATGACTGCACCAAACTGCTTCTTGTTTCCATCAAGCTTCATAAACAAGTGCACCAACCCGAATGCTTTTACTGGTTGACAAAGAGATGTGGTTGGTATTCGTGAGGATGCTGTGGAATGTACAATGAATAGAGAAAAAATGTACTGAAAACATTGAACTTGTGGTAATCAAGTTGCCTCTAATCAACATGAAGAAGTACTAGTACTTGTATATGTGCAGTACTTAACATCTTCTAAAAAAATTGTGTTAAAAAAACAATGACAAACGGACACTGTACATATATGTCTGAGTTCAAAACATGGCACCAGACAGAAATCTGGACACAGCGTAAGCTGAATATGGTGCATGATTTTCCTGCATGTACGAGTACATGTACATGTACAATGTTCCACATGCAGTACATACATGTACGTGTTCCTGCATGCGCTTATGCACAGAAGCCATGCATTTTCCCTGAATGTGACATCTACCGTAAATGTAGAAACATAAACATTAAATGACCTAATAGTTTCACAAACTTACGACAGAAGTCAATTCATAATAGTACATGTACATGTTCTACTTGGAAGCTTAAATTTGGAACAAAATGGCAGTGCAACCTTGGAGGGTCAGACAACTGGGTTAATGTGGGTAATACAAAATGTCATTGGCATTTGTGCCAAGTATCCTTAGAAATGCATGAATGGAATACCAGCTGTACCATTTCTTATTTAACAATGTAACATGTTCAAAATGCAGCACGAACCATGATCACACTATTTTGAATAATCATAATATGATGCAAGCCCCCTGTAGGGCATAACGCATGCAGTAATAAAGGCGAACAGTACAGTACAAGTCCCTACCAGGGGACAGACAGGGTGAGCAGACAGATGAGCTGCATGCAGTGGGCATGTAATGATAACCCAGTGCAACGCTTCATTTCCATGTGGACAGTATGTGTAAAGCTCAAAGATCTTCTTGACAGCCTTTGAACCAGCACCTGCAACATCTGCTCATTTCTAATGTCCTGTGCATCATTGCTTTTCTACTAATGTAAATCAACACCATGTTTAAAAAACAACACCAAATGAGAAATTCCTTGCAATCTAAATGAACTGGATAAAAAATACTGCATCAATATTTCTAACCCCATCCTGAAAAATATTCTCCATATGTCACAAATGGAGAAAGGTTCGGTCATTTTTTAAAAACAGATTCACTGCACATTTAATCCTGACCATCCTAATTCCTCCAAAACTAGCCGGGTGATTTTGGAGGATTTTAGAGGAATGAGGCTGAATACATGAAGTACATGTATTTGAAGTACTGAAGGATTTTAGAGGATTGGGGCAGAATGGCACATAAAGCAGTGAAGGATTTTAGAGGATTGGGGCTGAATGGTATATAAAGCTGTGAAGGATTTTAAAGGATTGGGGCTGAATGGCATATAAAGCAGTGAAGGATTTTAGAGGATTGGGGCAGAATGGCATATAAAGTAGTGAAGGAATTTAGAGGATTGGGGCAGAATGGCATATAAAGCAGTGAAGGAATTTAGAGGATTGGGGCAGAATGGCAGATAAAGCAGTGAAGGATTTTAGAGGATTTGGGATGAATGGTGTCTGGGTATTGCTCATGAGTTTGGATTATTGCTGGTGGGGGAGGGGTGTGATTTATGCGTTGCAAGATAACTGAAGGATTGGTGTGGTACAATGATGGTACACATTAGGTGTACTCCACATAAGTTACCTGTATACATGTACATGTACATTGTACATGTAAACGTGGTACACAGTAAAAACTGTCCCTGTACTGGTACATGTAATGTACATGTACATTACATGTACCACACTTCACACTCTACATGTACACGTATGCATACTACAGGGTGCAGTAGTTTCAACCAGGGTTGGCTGATTTACATCACCTTGATTTAAATCAAAGGATTTTTTTAATCACTAATTTAAATCAACATACATGTATTTATTCATTTATTTATTTTTTAAAATGTTTATATTTTTAAATGTACATGTATTTTATTGAGATTAGAAATGTTGGTCATTATGCAGTGAAACTAAAACCAGTAACATCATGCTCTTAATAAGTGATTTTTAATCAAGCCAAAGTAATTGCTCTATGGAGCTGGATCACAAACAAAACCAGACTGCTTTTTGCACACATTAGAGCAAGGTAAAATACCAGCAGTTTACATGCATGTGCATGTATAGCATGTAAAATAAATACATATTCATGTATGTAAATGTGGTTGATGGCATATTTTTCACTCATTAGTTATTTGACATGTGTATGAGTACCCTATTAACAAAACTCATGTCTTGGCAAAACTCAGAGTTCTGTTCTGGAATGCACTTTATCCTTGGTACATGTACATACTGAAGGAACTGTCTTCGCTGCAGGTACAAGTACTGCATGCATTACAACTGGGCTTAGACAATATTTAATCCTACCACTCCTCAATCCTTCACCTGTTGGAGGACTGAGGAGTGTTAGGGTTAAGGTGGTTTGTGATTTTAATTAAATTACTTGATTTAAATTTTAAAATTTGAATCCGAGTTTGTTAAATTTTGTAATAAGTGAGATAAATTTCTGAAAATTAATACACATGTACCTAATGTGCTTGCTTTAGACCAGATACATGTACTTGAGCCAACTTATTTCCAATTTTTATTTTAAAAAAATCTGATTTAAATATGACAAATCCTGTATTTTTTAAAAATAAAAAAGCTTGCTAGCCTGGTTTCAACATATGTGTATATGTCCTGTACATATATACATATCTTTCATCGTTTATTGCTGGTCATAACTGTGCTCTTTGTAGAGACCAAAGGGCATATTTCACTTTATTACAAAGCCATTTGCATTGAGGAAGTACATACTGTACTAAAAGCTGACTACAAGATCAACCAGTGATACAGTGCAATCAACCAATGGAGGAAATCATCCAATGATATCATGCCCAAACATTTCTTTTGTCTACAAATTTGGCACCGTTAAAAGGCCTGCGGTGCATGACACTCTAAAAACATGAGGCGTTGAAAACATGCAATACAGAAAGACTCATTTACATGAATTACATGTAAGTGCCCATGAAGACAAAAAGTCATAAACATATTCCAAAAAGAAAGAAAAATAAAGAAGCCGAGTGTTTTTCTGAAGGAATGTTTATACTCAGAGCAGAGAAACTCTGCAACAGGACAATGAACGGCAAATGTAGTCCTTTTTTCAAGGATACAGTGCTGACAAACATGTGGCATATTCTGGCTTCAGTAGTCTCAATAATAATATGCACCTACATGATGTCACTAACTGGCTGGTATGGTTGATTACTTCCTTTTCATACAATCCTTTCTTCCTACCGGTATATTGCTACCATTATTGTGGGGAGCTACATGTAGTGACTGAAATACCAAGCGGACGCCGCACTTCACACCATTTTCTGTCACCATATTTGGTTATCCCTCGACTATGTGCAAGAAAATGGGCTCTCACGCATCAAAGAAAAATTTCACCCTTCAATTTTTTCACCAAGGGGGAGTGGGTTTGAAACCACGGTTACTTTTGTATTTTGGTGTTTCCTACCCCCAAAATGTCACAAATCATTCTTTTGCTGTTTCAAATTGAATCTTACATTAGCTTGCAGGATATTTCACTTTCTTTCAAGATTTATCATACCGGGTGTTTGTAGCTTTGGAGGTGTTCTTTTTTTTTTCCACGGAAATAAAGTTAAAAATTAAAATTGGTCTGAATTCCATCTCGTAAACACAGATTCACAGTGGCAATGTAAGCATGCAATCAGACAAAGAGTTATTGTAAATTTCTGAGCCCCCAAAATATGTTCAGCTAGTGCTGGCCTAAAAAGCTTAAGCACATGTCCACCACTTTTGTAAACTGTTGAAGAGAAGTCACCCTTAGGTTGGAAACCTCAAATGTAACATATGCATGGAAATACCCGCACTGTTCTGTTCTCTTACTTTACAGTCTTGTTTACTCGTTACAGGCCAATGCCTCATGAAAATTGTTATGACTGTGGCAAACTTAGTGAGCTTAAATTATAGGCCCAGGCCTACACCCTGTGTACCCCAGAACCGTGGGGTCCAACATCCGCCCTGCTCCTACGTGGGTGGATGTTGGACCCCACAGTTCTGGGAGTACACCCTCCACACAAACCCATGAGACTGGTCTGAAAAATCTGGGCCTGGGTTAGCAAAGTGGACGTCGTCGACATTGCACTGCGATTAACATCCAGGGTAGAAAGTCCTCCTGCCAAAATTTTTTTCAACTTTTTTTGTCACATTTTTACCTTCCACAGGCAGCTAAAATGTCATTCACAAGTGCCTTTTATACCGAATTCCATAAATGACTAAACGTGCCCACGGACAACGTACATGTATTTTGCAGCAAATTTAGCACAACTCCACACTTTCCGGCGTGATTCATGCGTGATCTACGTTTGTCTTGTAGCTCATTTGCACATTATGAAATGCATACTGTAGCTACCGACAGCCCCTTACGCATGTGTGGACGACATGGTGCCATACTCAAACAGGTACATGTAAGTGGGAAGAAAAATCGGCCCCAAAACTGCCAATTTTCAATGACTTTAAAACTTGGTCAACATTCTGTCAGTTAGGCCTATCTATGACTTAGTCACACCCACAGCTAAGGGGGTCAGATGCTATGCATTTAGCATATATGTGCAAATGCGTACTACTAGTTCAGTAGAAGAACGTAGATCATTCTTTAATCAAGACGGAAAGCGTGGAGTTGTGCTAATTTCCTGCAAAATACGCCATCCACGGGCATATTTAGTAATTTCAACACAGCATTTATAGAATTCGGGATACAAGGCAATTGTGAACGACATTTGAGCTGTCTCCGCCAAGCAAAATGTGAGATTGAGAAAAAAAATTGATAAAATTTTCGCTATGGCAGGAAGACTTTACACACTGGACGTCAGTTGTGACTCGTGATGTAAATGAAGACAACTCCAACCTAGGCTAGGCCTAGTCCGAGTAACTTGGACTCTACAAAGCACCTTTTAAAACATTTGGACATGGTCGGGCGATAGGCCTAGTAGTAGGTCCACGTTTCTGGAATAGGCTAGGCCTGTAATTTCTATGGTACCTGGGTAGCCTACATCATGAATACCTCAAGATTTTCCCTACCAAATTAACTTATGGCAAATAGGTAACAGTACGGAAGGGCAACATGAGAGGCATCCGTATATGAAATTCAATCCCACAACTCCACTTCATCCATCCATTCATTCATTATTTCCACTTAATTATATGCAGTAAAGATATCACAGGAAGGAAAATGGTTGTGGATGGGGTCCCATAAAAGCAGTGCTTGTCGAGTAGCTTGGGCTCCCATTAGGAATAAAACACATTATTACGAACAATACAATAATTATGACACAGACAAGAAAACACGTAAACACTAAGTCTTGTAACCCTGTAAGACATGTAAGACACAAAAACTAAATATTGTGCGCAAAGTTTAAGGCAGTCAACAAAAATTCAAACAAAATTGGAAATTTTTCTCAGTCCCCGATTTAGATTTTCTGCATGATTGACCTCACTGAGATGATGAAAACGTGAGCTAGAATGAAACGTTCTTTCTTGGATGCCTCCTAATTTTTCCAACGTGGACAAAATCGTAATTTTTCCCCCCAATTCAAGACAAAATTTGGCAGGTCTACTCACCGGAAGACGCGTCTTAATCACCGTGACATGGGTACCGGTCATGCATGCGATGCGGGAATATTGCAGCTCAGGGCATGCGCGCGTGCACCCGGCCCACCTCCATAATATGATGCGCACACATACATTGTACACACATGTACATGTACAACATGTACACTGTACGTGTACTGTACATTCCATGCACACCGGCCCGTACGCACTGTACATGTACAGTATCAGTACAGTTTGGGTGCTGACGCTGGCTAGGCTTTGCGCTTGCGCCGTTGATTGAAATCAATGGCTAATCTTAATCAAAGATTAAACATGTAGCGCCCCGGTCTTAATCTAGTACCCGTACGTCGACTTCGATGTTTTGACTCCTGGGCGCAGCTAGCAAGCACGGTTGTTTATTTTTTCATTGCTGTATTATACCCTTCCACACCCACCACAACAGCATGAAGAATAGATTCAACATTTTCCACCATATGTCACTTTTAACACAAGTTACAAGGTTCATTTGAACAATTAAAAATGTTAGCGGTGAAGTGCGAAAAGCTAGAAATCAGATAGTCGGCAAGTACGACAAGCCATCCGGTGGATGAGCTTGAGGAATAGACTGTAATTGATGCAGGTGACATACATCCAAAAATGTCTTCTTTTGAACGCAAACATTTCAACATTAACACAAATGTGTACCACAAAGAAGGAGACTGATTATAAATTAATATCGGTATCCCTTCCCCGCCCCCAACCCACAGGTTGATTTGGATTGTAGATCAACTCGCCCCTTACCAGCTCGCCCCTTGACCAACTCGCCCCCTGACCGACTCGCCCCCTAGCCAACTCGCCCCCTAGCCGACTCGCCCTCCTTACCGACTCGCCCCCCAACGATTCGCCTCCTGACCGACTCGCCCCATAGCCAACTCGCCCCCTAAGTTTGCCAAGCACGTATGGCCGGCCCATTCACCTATTAATAAAAAATACAATCAGTCAGAGATGGAATCGGTGATTGCTGCTCTTAAAAATAGGTTCTGGGGTTTGCAGCAGGCACTCAAAGTTGAGTTTGTTTAAAGCTTGGTGGATATTCCCTTTGTGTGGAATTTGGGGGTAACAATATTTTTTTATATTGGTAAAACTAATTCAGTATTATGGTGTGTGTGAATAAAAAAATGGTACATATTAGGCATAATGCCCGGCGACGCAAACCCACAGAAGTGTTAAGGAGACATGATTTATGACAAAGGGTGTAAAGGTCGCTACACACTTTCAGGTTCCGATAACTTCACAGGATGCAATTATTAGTTCACAATTAACACTAAACACTGATTTATTCGGCGAGTACAGTCATCAAGGATCACAATGTTGATCGGCCATATTGAATTATATCCCAGCATGCGCTGTCGGTGTCATGACGTCATGGAAAAACAGTCATGTCATCTGGTGCCCATGACTTGTAAAAAAATTAAGAGCACTCTCAAGGATATTCAATTCGAAAAAAGGAATAAAAATTACGCAAATAAAAAAAATGATAATGGGGCGTTAAAAATTGACATTAGTGTACAATGTACCACTATGACTTTATACATCACACAAAAAGCATATGTCCAAGAGCCTAAATCAATTTTCGCAGTATTTGTGGGGTCCCAGTCGAGTGAATGAGCAACAGAACTCTATAACTAACTAACTGGATATCGGGTCACTACAAGAAGATACAGTCACA